AGGGAGGCTGAAACTCAGTGGTGCCCACAGCTACTAAGATCCTGTCTGAACTCCTCTCTATGGCATAGAAGGCTCTGACCACCTGATCTCAAGTCCTTCACCTCATACCCTAAAACCCAGCCAAACTCAACAGTTAGCAGGTTACCACAGGCGCCACGTTGCCTGCACCTTCAAACCTCTGAAGGCCCCTCCCCTTCCTGTACAACTCAGTTTAAAAGAGATTTTCCAATAAACTAATTTTATTGATCTATATTGAGATATAATTTACATATGATAAAATGCACCGATATCGTTTTGACAAATGTATACACCCATGTAACCGATCAGCCTACAGAACGCTTCCGCCATTCTGGGAACCTCCTTCATGATACCCCCTTACCGAAGGCAACCACTAATCTGAGTCCTAGAACCGTAGGGCTAGTGTGGACTCTTCTTGACTTTTTTACTTATTTTTGAGTCCTAGCTGAAGGGCTTTCTCATCCCTGTGTCTTGTTCCTCATAGAACTGACTTCCAGTCTGTTTCCTCCATGACCTCCTGGAGGGCAGGGGCCATCACCTTGGTCATCTCTTAATCTTCAGCCTCCAGCACCACGCCCAATTCAGTGTACCGTCTATCAGTGCCGGCTGGCTGGATGATTTCTGTTTCAACACAAATCATAAGGCCTAACGTTTATCAAACACTTACCCATGTGCCAGGCTCTGTTCTGTGTGCTTTCTCTGGAATTATCTTTAAATTCTCACAGTTACCTCCATAAGACAGGCCCTGGCCCGCATTGTACATTTGCGTACACTGGCACAGATCGGTTCAGTAACTTGCCTATGGCCACACAGCTAGGAAATGGTTGAGTTGGACTTTGATCTCAGTTAGTTCCATCTCCAGAGCCTGTGTCCCTAAGCGTACACTCTGCCAGCTTGCTGTGTGGTATTTTCTAGAACTCAGAGTTTGCTCACTAGGAGAAGGATAAAAAGCATAGCTTGGGAAATATTGGCAGGACGTTACAACTCGTCCTTCTGTCCTCAGTATTTCTCCTTCCTGA